CAATCTTTCTGTGATGCATCAAGTAAAACTACAACTTATGGGTTTTATTGTGTGCTTTTTACATTTAAATATGTCATACATTTTTATATAATTTATCTCTTACATCTTCTTGAAATAAATTTGATCTAACATACTATTTAGTTAGTAGAAGTTAATACACGTATTCCTGATATTCTTCTAAATGATATTTAGCCTATCTTTAACACTACGATGGACAACAAAAGAAACACCGAACACAGAACAGGACGAGCAGAGAACATGGAATGTAATAAAATAATTTTGATACAAGGATGTTCAAACTGAAAGAAATCGCTTTATCGTAATTGGTTGTTTTCTAGAAATGTATCCTTCATAAATGGCTCTAACTAATAAAAATGTCACAAAATAAAGTTGTTGTGTTTTTTTTTTACTAAAGACTTGTTTAATAACTGACGTCGGAAAGGCTCGTTGGTTAGGTGTTTACATTATTTGTTCAAAAGTTGTTTTTTTTTAAGTTTTTAACATTAAATTATAATGTTCGCTACAAAAATAAAAGGTAATGCTGATTACTGTAGGAAAGTGCGAAGATAAGCAGGTATAAAATTTATTTACAAATATAAATGAATTAAGTAATAAATACGCAGAAAGACCGTGGTTATCATCATCATCATCGTTCCTTTGTGGCCCCTTTGGAGCAAAGGGCTGCACATCTCCATCGGTTTTGGGCTGCTCCCTTTATCTGTGCCCATGTGAGCCCAGCTGTTTTCGCCTCTTCTTCAACCGTTCTTCTCCATGTCTTCCTTGGCCGGCCCACCCTCCTTTTTCCCTGGGGATTACAATCCAAAGCGTGTTTTGCGATGTGTTCTTTTTCTTTTCTTAATATGTGTCCGATATGTGTCCGATCCATGGTTATACATTAGTATATTAAGTGACTACAGTTTAGCTTTAGCATACACCATTATGCTTTCTGGTTTAAGTAATACAACATAATGCTAACTGGTTAAAACAACCGATTTTACTTAAATGCTTTTGTAACATATACTTTGAATTTGACCTCTTTGTTACTTTACAAGTCTGCTGTAACAAAGCGAAAACCACTGATCAGGAATTGAATATTGATTTCATTAATCGCTTGTCACCTTTTGCGATACCTAAAACAAAATAGGATACATGAAGTAGATTTTATCCGTATCTGATAATGTGGTTAATAACAGAGGCGTCGCGACCCTTCCCGGCGCCCGGGGACAAACTTTCAATTTGGCGCCCCCCTCGGAAGCAAATTTTCAATTTGCACCACCCCCCCCTCAAACTTTCGATGTGCAACCTCCCCTCCCCCTCAAACTTTCTATTTGCACCCCCCCCCCCCTCTCAAACTATTTATAATGCAAAAATGCAGCTCAAATGACATTTTAATTTGTTTTTATAACCCATTTTGGCACCCCCTAAGGTCGGCGCCCGGGGACATATGTACCCCACTGCCCCCCACCCCCCCCCCCCCATCGCTACGCCTCTGGTTAATAATGGCTACTTCTTTGCCCAGCCGAGTTCATCTCCTACGATTTTGTTACCTGAAAGAACTCAAGAACTCCAAGGTTACCTAAGTTTATCCCACGGGCCGACAAGAGTGTTCCCTACTAGATGCACAATCAATACGCAAACAAAACGAAAATAGTGGGGAAAAAACAATAGACGTCGATATAAAATTCAAAGTCGATTGCTTATTTTCATAGGCTTTTTTAATAGTATTTTTAAACGGTGTTATGGACACAATGGTTACATAAAAATGGTCATAAAGTATTATGTAACATATTCAAACGATCGGCTCATTAATAGTAAACGGGCCAGGTTATCACAGTCTATCACTAGCTGTTGCCCAATAACTCCACACAATAACTGTTGCCCAGTAGCCCCACACAATCACTGTTGCCCAGTAGCTGCACACAATTTATGTTGCCCAGTAGCCCCACACAATTACTGTTGCCCAATAGCCCCACACAATCACTAACTGTTGCCCAATGTGTAGCTTCATTTTGGCGATCCGTGAAGTGGGTTTTCTAGCCCCAAAAGCTCCAGGCAGAGTTTCTGTCAGGCATCTCTTCGGGCCCCCCCCCCCCCCCGGAAATAGCAAATGGAGAAAAAAAAGTCTGGAAGAAACGGTGGCTCCAGGGAGGGGAGTGGGGGAGCGGGGAAGTGGATTAGCTCCCTAACCCCCAACCACCACCCCCCCCGTCTGTATTTAAAATGCTTCTAGCATAATTCATCAATGTAGAGAATGGAATCGAGAAACAAAAAATTAGACTTCGTTCAGAAACAAACAATGCAGTTAGTAAAACAAGTTAATAAAAAGTCTAGTAACAATTTAAGCGCAATTTCCTTAATTAATTTTTTGTGACCGAACGAAAGAATATTTTTGAAAACTTTCTTCGGCAATATTGTTTTAAATTATGGCAGGAATCGATTGGTAAATGTTTGTCGCTAAGTGGTCTGGTTGCCGAAATATGGGCCAAAAACTGCATTTTTTCGAGGTTTTTTGGCTTTTTCGGGAAATCCAGGAAGGAATTCCGGGAATTTTTTGGCCCACAATTATCCTCGGAACTTGCTTAACATATTTGCTTTTGGAACTAGTCCTCGATATTGCTTCGTTGAGGAGGAGATACAAATTAAAGCTGCGGACACACACCGGACACACATCGGACACACATCCATCCAGAACGAGTTAATAATCGCAAATGTCCGTTTGGAAATTGCGCTAAAAAATACAATAGCCGATATGAATAACAGGCCGACACGGACAAAAGACCGACGTGGAAAATAGGCCTAAAACCGATAAAAATGACTTGCTATATTGTCAACAACCAAAATTAGTTGAAAAATAGTTAGGAGAAGTACACACTAAAATCTTATCGGGCCTGATATTAAATGTAAAGCAATACCGCTACTAATAGATACGTTGTTCTTTTCTTTTATTGTTTTTTTTCAGAGGCGTTGAGAGGCGGGCGGGGTGTGCGGACCGCCCCGGGTGACATCATTTAGGGGAGGGGTGACACCAAGACAAACAAATTAAATATATAGAAGAAAACGCTTTTTTCTAGTTCAAGCGAAAATTAATTAGAGTTTAAAAGTAGTTTAAGTAGAAATTGACGATCCCGACATGTTGGGGGGGGGGGGGGGGGGGCTGTCACACCATAAGGTGCCGCATCGGGTGACACTCGGCCTAGCGACGCCACTGGTTTTTTTTTCTTATTTCAAAGAATTCTATATTCAATAACAAATAGGAAGATAGCAAGATTAAGAAGTCGGTGTACTGGGTTAGTCAGGTTATCAGGTTAATGAAAATTTTCTCACCCGAGATCTCGACCACGTATTCTAATATGGGGCTGTTGAGTGTATTGTTTCTTTCAAGCATCAGAGGGGAGGGTGGTGGGGTGGGTGGAGGGCTTGTCCACCTCCTCGCCAGTGGCGTAACAACTATTTAAAAAGGTGGACAAAGTCCACGGGCCCCCGCAGAGGCATAGCGAGGGGGGGGGGGCGCGGGGGGGGGGGTACATATGTTCTCGAGCGCCGACCCTAGGGGGCGCCAAAATGGGTTGAAAAAAAATTAAAAGCTCATTTTAGCTGCAGTTTTGCACTATAAATATAAAAAAAATATATGGGAAGGCGGCGCCAAATTGAAAGTTTGTCGGGGCGGGGGGGGGGGGGGGGGGGGCGCCAAATTGAAAGTTTGTCCCCGGGCGTCGGGAAGGGTGGCTACGCCTCTGGGCCCCCGAGGTTCTAAGGCCCCAGAGCCAAGTAAGTAAATAAATCGTTCCCTTGAAACAACTGACGCTCTTTGGAAAATTGTTTTTTTTTTTAAGAGATGTGGGATCTGGCCTATTATATTGTAAAATAGAAACTTTCAAGAACATAACAAGCTGTTTTTTTGTGCAAAAACATACTAGTTAACAAAAAAAAACTACGACTAGTTAAAAATTACAAGGTTTAAAGTAGATTATATTAACTGGAGCTATGGAAAATATTAAGTTAAGGCCTACTCTAACTATAGTCCCCCCCCCCCCCCCCCCCCCCACCCAATTTCTTAGAGAAATCGTCATCTTTACAATTTTTAAACAGTTTTAATTAGACCTTATAAAATAAGTATTACAAAAAGCTTATAAACTTATTTTTTAAATAAATTTATACAAATATTGACTTATAGATATAGAATCTAGGTCTTTAAAAAAGCTTAAATCACGCATGACATCTTTTCATTTCGCGATCTACGCTTTTAGTTTTACCAATCAGTGTTTCTTCCAGACATTTTATCTCCGGGGGTGCACTTTAAATTTTCTTGAGGGGGGGGGGGGGGGTAGGGGCGGTAGACTTTCTTCGGGGGGGGACACACAGTTAAAAGTATATATTTTCTATATAAATTATATAAATTTCATTTCGTTCAAGGGGGCGGTAAGAGATGCCTGGAAGCAGAGTTTCTTCCAGGCATCTCTTCGAAAGCCCCCCCCGAAAAATTTTTACCGCCCCCCCCCCCCCCCGAACGATATGAAATTTATATAATTTATATAGAAAAGATATACTTTTAACAGTGTCCGCCCCCCCGAAGAAAGTTTACCGCCCCCCCCCCCCCCCCCGAAGATTTCAAGTGCCCCCCCGGAGAAAAAAGTCTGGAAGAAACACTGCCTGGAAGAAACTCTGTTACCAATATATCTAAGGAGAGTTTATGCATTTTTAGGGGTGGGGGGGGTATATGTGTGCATTTACAGGTTTTTATGTGCGTTTTATTGTTTCTCCCATAAGGATACAATGTAGGCCAACGGTTGAAAAACTAAAGTATTGCCATTTATGTGTTGTTTTTACTGTTTTTGATTCATGCAACATGGATGTGTACTCTATTGGATCTATAACCTTCACACAGAATCTTAAGGTCATCTGCTCAGTTTGTCGCGTAAATATGTTGATGCAAAATAACAGAAAGATAACTCAGTCTATTTTTTCAGGCTGTTGTTATCGTTGTATGAATAATAGTTGGTCAAATAAAAAAAAAAAAAGTCTAATACTTTAGTTAAACCAGTGAATGTTTTAAGGAGATTTTTCGCACGTAAAATAACTGTAATGTAAGTCTAATTATCATATAACTATACCATAATGCTTGTAGATTCTAGTAAACATAATTTATCAAAACAAAATTCAAGCTAGTTCTATTCGGAATAAACATAAATTACCGGAAAGTACCGAAGGCCACAACACACTCAAATCGCGCGAGAATTGACGTGACGTTTTATCTAAACATGGCTAGCAGCTGCTGTGGGGTTAAGAAACAGAAGCTCAACAACTCAATGCCTTCTATATGTAACGGAAATTTACAAGCGGGTCATTCTAGTTACCATAAAAATGGCTATTCTGTAGTCCTTCCAGAAATGTGTTATTTTTGTTTTGACGTTCTACACAGTCATCTTCACAACTATGATCCACCTAGACCTGTCCCACCCTTTACGAATGAGGCATAGTAAGTATGACCTAATTTACTTGAACAAAGTCACCCTCAAATTATATTAGTTGCTAATTTTCAGCTGATTTAAAATCGTATGTATTATAACAAATAAAATTATTAGAATATCTAGCACTCTTAATTTTATTTTAGGCCCCTTTTTAACCACCATTTCTCACATTGTTGTCAACTTGGTTTTTGGATGTGGATTGTCTCATTTTGATCCGCAAGGGGCAACAGGATGTGTAATAATTAATGTAGATCCTGCATTCTGGCAATGGATAGATCTACTAGATCTAGATTCTGGAAATCTATAGATCTACATTTTCACTAGAACTTAAACAAATTCATTAATCCAGACGTATTGTTAAATACCAATTTATTTACCTACTTCAAAACATGATTTTATTAAGCTCATTAAAAAATTCCATTTACGTGACAACAAGCAGCCAAAATAAATAAAGTTAGGCCTAAACAAAGGAGTTGTTTTTTAAACTACTATTTTTAGAGAGATTAAAATTTTCTTTTCAAATATGTTTCTTTAATTTTGGTTACAAGTCTGATGTGACGACTGTCTATATTTTGGTTGTTTATAATAATTATTAAACCTAGCCAATAGGGTCAACTATGCCAATTTTTTTTTGTTTTTATCTTAAAACCTTAGGGCCTAATCTTAATAAATAATATTAAGTGGCCTTTTACTGTTTTAGCCTAATAATATTAGCATAGTAGATCAGTAACAGAAGGCCTATGAACTTGGCCTACATTATGTTACATAACATTAACAATCACACTGCTTGACTTCTCCCCAGTTACTGCTCAGTATCAACACTGCTATAATTTTATGTACTCTAGTTACTAGTTTGGCAAGCTATTGTAATGTAAGACAATTCAATTTTAGCTTAAACTTTATCATATTGTTGCTGAAAATTTTTGTATTAGGCCTACTGATCACCAATATATTTAGTGATCTATAATAATGTATATTCTCTCACTATTCATTTTTATATGAAATAAAAAAAAAACAGCTGATTTCAATATTATAATGCACAACACAATTATGATTTTCACTCCATGTTATACTCTTACTTATGTATCATATGATATTATTCATATGGGTGGGGCAGTTACAAAGGTCATGTTTTAAAAAAAAGACTGCCATATCTATTATTATAATGTGAAAAATGTATTTTTATTAGAATTTTTTTCCATCTTAGCCCTCTTTTTGTGACCTGGAAGCTGGGAAGAGAAAGACGGTTGCGTGGTTGTATAGGTACATTCTCACCCACCTCGCTACATAGTGGTCTTCGTGAATATGCAGTTACAAGGTAAGTTTGCTGTTTTATGCAGTTAAACAAGACCATTTGTATTTTTTCTTCATCGTTCTTAAATGTAGTGTTGGAAGGGATTCCACCCAACACAATTAAGTATACACATCAACTTGTTATACACCATATAGGCAGTGGACTCCGATTTCAGCCTGCTTCTTTGTGTTGGATTTGCTTCCATAGCCTTTGTCAAACCAGGAACAAACTACAAGGCATCAGTTGTTTCATTTTAGTTGTCTCTCCTAGAAATGTCCCCAGGTATCGAGCCTCATCTGTCTGAAGATTCGAACTCAAGATTTCATCTGCCCGAGGGTTCGAACTCGAGATTTTTTGGTTAAGCAACCATGAGCTTCACTGACTCGACCACGCCGACCTCCCAATTTGTATTTTAAACCCCTCTAGTTACTTAAAATGCAATTAAGTGTATGCTTTTTCCTCTTTGGCAAGTCAACATATAGAGAATATTATTTTAGTTAATACTTTAGTTTTCTTTAAAAGGATTTATTGGTTACCTTTGTCATCATATTCTTACAGTACAGATGGTATTTCTCTTATTAAATGTGTGAATAATTTAACAAAAGTAATTAGCATGAAATTGAAAAGTCATATTCTGAAATGTTACGTTAAAGTTGCTATGAATTTTAAACAACTACCTGTTGCTTTTACTTCAAATAGACCAAAAAATAATTCACCAGTGGTAAATAATAATTATCCAGCCCTGCTGAAAACCTGGTTTGGTTTAGATAAGGGCTTGTGCCTTTTTTTTTTAAAACAATTTCTTTCTATGTTTCAGTGCTGTTAAAGACAGTCGGTTTGAGCCAATAACCAAAGAGGAATTTCCTAAACTTCATTGTTCAGTTTCTCTTCTTACTCATTTTGAGGATGCCATGGATTACTTAGATTGGGAGGTGGGAGTGAGTGAGTGAATGAGAGGCGCGGAGATAGTAAGAGGAGGACAGAGGGAGATAACATAGTGAGATGGAGGAAGGTAGTGCATAGAGCAGTTTGATAGAATAAGCATAGGTGAGGTGTATTGGGTAATTTAAAGATTGAAGAAGTCAAATAACAGATAATTATACAACATTTAGTTCTTTATAGTAATGTTGGAACTAGGTAAGAGAGAAGCTAATTTCTTTTTCATTACATCTCATTACAATGGGTAGTAAGCCTTCTTGGTTTTAAAATAATTAGAAGGTATGATTCATTAATCATTGGGTACTTTATTTATTTTAAAGAATGATTTTTGTTTTTTATTTTCATCTTCATCTAAAATTGTTCTACATTCCAGATATGTCACAAAATTTTTTTTATATTTGCAGCTGGGCTCTCATGGTATTCGTATTGAATTCATCAACGAAAAAGGTCACAAAAAGACAGCAACTTATCTTCCTGAAGTAGCTGTTGAACAAGGTGTGTGTTCTAAATTCAATTCATCTTGCGTGATAAAACAGTATTGTACATACACTTCAGTTTTTAATATTTACTCCTTGCAGTGCTGTAGTGTTTTAAAGAATCTATTCCAGACCCTTTAGTTATTTGGTGTTCACTAAATTTCAGTATGTAATACATAAATTTGGACAATGACAGAATATCTATATCAGACCAGGATATCTAAAATTGAGGGTAGTTTAGGCATTAACCTGAATCAGTAAACTATTGTAGGACAAGCTTTGAAACCATTAACAATAATACTACTGGGTGGGGTAGATCAGACATGGAAAAATGCACCATTAAAGGAATGAAAAACTGGTAGAGATTCCCGTCATGTCAAAGAGTGCTCCAGATCTGCTGGATTTGACCTTCTGCTTTATTAGATGAAAAATTGATGAATGAAAATTATCATTAGTGAACTTTAATAGGTGGGGGTTGTTAAGACTGCTATGTGAGGTTATAGCACTACCACTATACTCGGTTTAGCCAATTGCTAGTTCCTTCTACAGTATGACAAAATCAAACCATCCAAATGACTTGATAGAAGACGTTAGTCAGCTCTCTTATTTATTTCACTATACTAATACATGCAATGACTTGTACAAATGATATTAATACTTGATTACATATACGACATCACTCCAAGGCTACTAGGACAAGACTCCATTCTAACTTCTTACCCTGCAACAATAAACTAACACTAAAGCGTCACTTTCTTGCGTACCGCGTCACACTTTCACTCGTTCAATATACAGCAGCACCATCAATCATGCGCGCCAATTAGCCTAATCAAACATACATCATAACAGTGGTTATTTTTAGAACTCTCATGTAACTAAATTTATTTACAGGCTGGGACAGAGTCCAGACCATTGACTCCCTTCTCCGTAAAGGTGGGTTCAAGGGACCAATCACCCCCGAAGTCCGCAAATCTATACGACTGACCCGCTATCGCAGCGAGAAAATCACCATTGCCTACAGTGACTATGTTGCTCAGAAGCAGAATGGGAATGCATGATGTCACGCCAGCCTCGAAATCAGGCAGCACTCTGAGCAGCAGCACCACCAGTCCAGCACCGCCATCGTCACCATCAGCGTTGTCATTACCATTTTCACACTTGTCAACATTGTTTTTATTATTATGACTATTGAGGCCTCTGTTTAACGCTAAGTATGTTGCTGTATAGGGAATATTTGTTCTAAATAATAACCCTAGTATAAACAGATTTTGTTTCATCTGATAGTCATTATCTGCAGTGAAGCTTCTTTTTTTACTAAGTTAAAATTCATGAAATGCTCTACTGTTAGCATTCATTCAGGATTTTTTAACCAATGTAATTAAAATTTTAATTACAATTGCTGTCATGCTCAGTAAAGCAGTTTTCATTCAAGTAAATTGTAAATCAGTCAGATAATTAGTTTCACATGACTCAGTAATCTTTACTTGCAAAAAAATGTCTTTTTTAAACTTATCACAAAATTTTATATAGCTGCAGCAATATTATTCTTTTTTTTTTAGAATTTTTTTTTACATTTGAGTTAGTGCTTCTGCTACTTTGCTCTTCAAACATTTTGTCAATGACATCAAAAAAAATATTTTTAATAAACTTGCTGAATCAGGCACAGAAAATAGCTGCTTTCATGAAATTTCTACTGAATATTGTAATGAGTAGGTTTATAGCACATTAAACATACACACTGTAGTTGATTTTGAGTTTTTAAAAATTATACTTCCAATACCTGCATTTCTTTTAAAATATTTTGTTATTGTTTTCAATAATTATTGTCTTACATTTTTTTTATTACTGTAAGTTATTATCTTTCATTTTCGAAATTTATTTGTATGCAATCTCAAATTTGCTATTTTGGTAATGGTAATAGCTATATCTGTGCTTCTCTATTAAAATGCTAATTGAAACTCATATCATCATTACCCAAGTCACTGTTCAAAATTAGTTATGCAGCTTTTTTCTCAATATGCATTTGAAAAGATATATTTATTTGTTAATTTAGGTTCTTATCATTGAAAATATAATTTAGATAGATAAAACAGAAGAAAATATTTGTTTGAATATCTTTATATTTCTCAATACCTACAGCCTCTCAGCTTATATAGAACTTGGCTTTTATATGCTGAATAAACATACTAATAATATTAAAACTTTAGCTTAGTAAAATTGAATACATTTTTTTGACCTTTTTCTCTGCATTAGTACATTTTGTATGTTTAATAATTTTCTGTCCCAACTTAAGTTTGTTTCGTTTTTATAATTTTTTATAAGACTAGGGATAAAATTGTTTTAACCTATTTTTTATACCATGATAAGTGGTAGGTTTGAGATTAAAATTAATTGAACAAAGTGACTTTTTCCGACGGAAACAATTTTTCATTAACTGTTTTTAATGCATGGCCTGTAAACTAGAGGTTCTTTTTTTTTTAACATTATTGCTACTAGCTTTTAAATAGTTACTTTTTATCTTTCACTTCCCAGCTTGGCTTTTTATTTAATGGGAACAAAATAATTAGAAAATGTGATGTGATAATTTAGTGTTGTTTCACTTTTTCTTTGAACTCTGGTGGCCTTAGATATTCATAGGTCAAAATTATCTTTAATCAAATTTAATTTTATCCATATCAGACATGATTTTCTATCCACTTTCCAAATTTTAGATTTTTTAAAAAATGGAAGTTTGTTTATGATTACAGAAATGTTTTGTTAACTTAAAATTATTTAAATAAACAATGCAGTTGCTTTGTAAAAATAGCTGTCGTTCTAATTTTAGAACTGATTTTTAATACAAGGGCATTTCAACATAAGCAAGTAAATAACTTCTTTTACATTTGCTTCATTGCTGATAAAGAATAAGATACATAATAAGTGGGTCTGTCAATTTAGTTTCTGGTAATTAGATCAAATATTTCTCTCACTTTGTTAAAACTATAGCTATTTTGGATTTTAAATTATTTTTTTTATAGTTCTCTCAAATTTTATTACTTAAACATGTATACACTTATTTAGGTATATACTTATTTTATAAGTATAAATAATTTATTTTATACCAGTTCTTGTTTTGTAATGATAAACTCAGGGTTGTCAAAACTTGTGAAGATCATTTTGAAGATCTATAATTCTTTCATCGGAACTTGGGACATTTGAAATAATTGATGCTGGTATGTTGCTGTCCATGGCTCTACCGCAACCATACAGGTTTCATCTCTGTCACTCCTTCATTTATTCTGTTTGGTGTCTTCTTTAGAGAATTTATTGTAATCATATCAAAAATTGGCAAACTTGTATGCTTTGATTGGTGTGGTGTGTAATCAACTTCTAACAATATCCCTTTTTGTGTAGTCTAATATTCATAGTCATATTACTATGTTCATATTGTATGATGCAAGTTTTATAAAACTATGATTTAGTAAAGGAACAAATTATGGTATAAGTGGAAAAAAGTATGGTATTGCCTCATGAATTAGGGTGTGCCTGTAATTATGTGTTTTTATGTATAAATGGGATCAATATTAGCCAAGATTAATTCTTAAGTAATTCTTGCTCAGATATTTTCAAGTATTTTTACTCTTCTATGTTCAGACACACGCCCACAGCATGTATACCTGAACCAGTTTTGGATCTCATTTAACTAATACAGTATTTTCACAGCCATTTTCCCAAGCTTTTTCTCATAATCCACATCTGAATAACGAATCCAATGCAATTTTATCATAAACGTTTGAGTTACTTTGCTGTGACAGTTCGGGCACAAAATTTTTAAAAATCTTACTGTATGAAATACATTATAAATATATTTAAAAATGTATAATTAATGAAGTACTGGGAATGTTAGTGTTAATATATCTGAAATAAAAATAAAACTACTTTTATATAATTCAGCATGCATGCCAGGAGTAAAATATATTAACAAGTTAGGCTATACTATTTTTCTTTTGCTATTATTAATATAAATTCATGTTGTAGAGTATATATTTTGGTCAGTGGGGGTGAAGGATACTTGTATTTAGCATGATACATGCATGAATAATGATACTCATCAGGTATTGCTTCTTTTTTCATTATTCAAAATTCCAATAAGCTTGTATGGTTGTGTAGAGTATGGTATTTTAATTGTTCCGTGGGTTTTCATGCTGCTTGTTTTTAAGTGTGAAATATTAATTGATTGACAGTGGCACTTTTAGCATATAGGTGTTTGTATAGGAAATGACAAATGTAATTGTATTTGCTGTTTTTAATAAATCCGTCATTATCATAAACCTTTGTAATGAGTTTTTTCATAAGGTTAACTATTTTCCAATGGAAAATTAATGTAATTATTTTATTTTTGAAGAATGAAAAAGAAATGATTCTATTTTTGCTATGGTCCGACTTAGTAGGTCTGAGCTAGTGTTGAAGAATGCAGAGTATATTTACTATTTACATTAGTTTGAACAAAAAATAATTTTAATTTTTACTATGAAATCTTGAAAGTTGGTAACAGCTGTGCTGCTTTTTTTTTCTTGGCCTGTAAGTACAAAAAATTTAAATTATTAAATGTAATCACAGCTGGAGTTATAATTATACTTTGTAATTTGTATAACTTTAAAGAATCACCTAAGCCAGAAATCACTTTCATTGTGCTTGTGATCTTAATTAAATATATACGGTAAGTCTTAATAACTATTTGATTGCTCGGTTTAGTATGATTACTAATAACTTTGTTGCTTTTTAGCTTTGTTGAAAAATAGTCTGTGACTCATTTAAAAGGTGATTTGAATGTATGTATTGTTTATTACTATGAGTAATAAGAATGTGTAGTTTGTATTTCTTTGGGTGACTCATGCAGTTATGATATTAAAAAAAATTAAATTACATTTTTTTTTTCTTTATCTGCGATAGTTAATGCTATGTTGGTAAACTTTCTTTAACCTAAACAAAAACAGTTCCAATATCAATTTGCTAGTTGTTGGTCTACTTTTCCTGTTTTTTCTGGAAAACAGTTCTTTTTTGCGATGTTTATTCTAATAAATAAGATACTTGATTCTACAATTTTATACTAGCAGCCTGCTTTAGCTCTCCATAATAAAGACAGCTGCTTAAATTCATAATTCTTACAAAAGTCCTAATCTAGTACATAACACTTTTTATAATGAAATAATTTCTGTATTCCATTTTGTTTTTATAAATAGGAATATATCAACAATCTAGCACTGTAGGTTCTTTTTACCTCACTTCATCAGCTGTAAACACCAAATAAATTTGCGCTTGAGGTTGTAGTTGGGCGAGAAAGACTTTTTCTTGTATGTTAGCATGAAGCAAATCTGTTCATACTTGTTTTTACGTGCTAGTGACATGTATCTGGTTTTTAGATTTTATATCAATATTTCCAAATGTTAATTGGTAGTGAATTGTCAGCCTTATGACTTTTAATTCAAAATATTCATATTCTATGTAAACCTAATGTAATAAATACAAATATTATTACAAACTCCTGTTTTATTTGACCTTTATCTTTGTGAAGTGATGTTAGGTTAGGTTAGGTTTGCCTGTCGTCCCTACTGGGACATAGGCCGCTGACAAGAGCTTTCCAGACGTCTCTGTCCTGGGCTAGTCTCTCCATTTGTCCCCAGGTGTATCCAACCTTCATGGTGTCTTCTTCCAGGTCACGTCGAAGTGATATTAGATCCCCAATATTTATTCAGTCAATGGAATATAAACATTTAATAAATGTCTGTGCTAGATTCTGTGGTAGCCTACAGAACAAAACCAACTTAAGTCACCAGTTTAGTACCTAGTTGGTTCTTGTAGGTCTAACCACCTGTCTATACCCATCCATCTCTGTCGGTCCACCAATCTTTAGGTCTACCCACCTCTATAATAATTATTAACTAATAACAAGCATTTATGTAAGACGGAGTGGTCTAGCTGTAGAGAGCTGGACTGCTAACCGTAGGTCTCGAGTTCAAATCCGGGTTAAAGTCAGTAGACCGTCCCTGAGTCCACCCAACTGTGATGGGTACCTAACTCACTTTAGGGAAAGTAAAGGCGGCTGGGCACAGTGCTGACCACACTATCTCTTCATATGCCGAGGTCACAGAAACAAGTGAACTTTCACTTACCATATAGACCGTCAGGTTTGAAAGGGGAACTTTAACCTCTATAATATGCCTGCCCAGCTCTGACAAACCACCCAGCCTCATTGCTTATCTTGCTAGTTAAGACAGTAGCACATATTTGGGTTGGTAGGTATTGATGAGAGGTGGTAGAAAAAAACACTCACCTGTTAAAAGACTTGTTCTTAGAATTGTGTTTACTAGTGTGAAAAGTTAGAGCTGATTTAATGTGCTGGTGTTGAGAGGGCAGCTTCTAGTGAGCAACGGTGTTTGGTAGGGGGGGGGGGGGGAATCTTTAGGCCTATTGACATATTAATGGAAACATTGCTGCAACACTCAGTACATTGATCTAGAAATTTCCTTTGGTTTTTTTTTTGGTAATCTATCGTTTTGGGTACGTAAAATCGCCCGCGGCTATTAATGTACGAAAACGTTACCTCATTGTCAAGGCTTTAATAGAAGTATATTGTCATATGTTTGTGTCAAATATTATAGATAAATGAATAATAAACCCAAATCAATGGCTAAATATATCAATATAGGCCAGAAATTAACTTTAAACGGCAGTGTCTGCAAGCAAGATTTGCTATATAAACAGCAGCCATTTGTAAAATAGAGTGACTTCCGCCTGAATCTCGCGCTTTAAGTCTATAAAAATAAAACTTAAACAAGATGGCTTCTATAGTAAATGAGCATGGTTGCATCTGTTGGAAACATCGCTGGTGTTCATTTATTACTGAAAAGTTTTAATTCAATTGTTTAAAAACAGGTACATAAATGAAACAAGGAAACATTTTTGTATTTTTCAAAACATAAATTCTCCTCAAAATGTGAAATAATTATTAAAATGTAAGGAGTCACCTGTTTTTCACATTACTAGTCGCGGGCGATTTTACGTACCTAAAACGATAGATTACCTTTTTTTTTTTTTATTATTATTATTAGCGACAATCCAATATAAGAAGAGCATGTTAAAAACAACAACAAAAAAAAAAGTTTGTCAGAAGTGGGATTTGAACCCACGCCCACAGAAGTGGACTGCGACCTGAACGCAGCGCCTTAGACCGCTCGGCCATCCTGACTTACTTCGTTGAGAGACATAATTCATATTTATTCACAAAACACCTTTATAAAATCATTCTGTTATTTTATTGGTTGAATAAAAATAGGATTGGTAATTTCCAGATATAAACCAGGAACTTCCTGTAATAATAACAACATTTGCTGTAGTGTTACATCGTTCTCTTCTCCCTAGTCACAGATCTAACACAAGCATTTTTAGAACTTAAACTGTTGGTTTACCGAATTACTTTGGAAAAAGAAACCTTAGCGATTCTTGTTTTAAAAATAGATCTAGAATCTAGATCTAGTCTAGACAATAATTAGAATTAGGCTAATTTCTTGGTAATTTTTAACAACTTTGTTGGCGACTTTCACACCACTCTTGACTCTACTTAATACTTAACTACTTACTAGACTACTTACTACTTACTAGATCTAGATCTACTTCTTAGTACTAGATATAGATCTAGATCTACTTACTAAACTTAGGTACTAGATCTAGATCTAGATTCAATTAGCTCCACTCTACTACTAGTCTAGATCTACAATACTACTGAGTAGACTACATTTATTAATGTAACATTTAACATTTACTTTATCAAAACTTTATCAATTCCACTATTATTACTATAATTATAATCTTCAATAAGTAGGCCTTTTAATTATTAATATGTCTATTTTCAGGTACTCTTCATGGGGTGAGGCCATGGGGGATAAAAAAATAATTACTGAAGACTCATATGTCAGGCATCTGCCTTTTTCAAGTATTTTAAACTTGTCATCAATGCTTGATACTGATGGACTTTGGGAACAACTTGCTGTCAGGATACCAACTAAACCAGATCTTCTATTCAACAATCAAGATGAAAACTTTGTACATAGGTAAAAACTAAAAATATACTAGCCTATATACTATATACTATAGTAACAGCTTTGTTCTTGGTATTTTTGGTGCATAGTGATGAATTGAAAAACTAGATCTAGTATAGCCTAGATCAATATAATAGTCTAAATTTTACCATAATGTAATTAAAAGTTCCTAACTTCCAATTGTAAGACCTTTTAACCAAAGAAATTCATATTATAAGTCAGTGGTTTCATAAGCATGGTGTTGTACTATATGGTCAGTTTAATTTAACTAGAAAAGTTTGTGGTCATCTGTTAGGGCTGGTGAAGTAGATTTTACCTGTTTTTAAGAGGCGTCATGGTAGTGCCTAAATGATATCATACCGAAGAAAATGGGATCAGATTTTGTTTTTCTCTGTCGGCTCATGATTTTAAATAAATCCTTAGATATACACAAGCCCATGTTGAGAAGATTTCTAGAACAAATTACTCAAGGGGTGGAAGCTGTACAAAGTTTCTTCTCATGGACTGGGGGACACAGAACTGTAAGGTCAAGCATCTAATAGAGGTTAGTGAGTCGGTAAATGTAGACCACTCATAAACTTAATGGGGTAGATGGATGATCTTGTCTCCATGGTAGAGTGAAGCATGACCAGAGATGGCATGTAATAGCTGTAGATGGTGCGCTTACAAGTTCCTCTTTCAGACCTAATGATCCATCGTGCAGTTGAAGTAAATAGCAAGTTTCTTGACCTCGGCATATGTAGGGATAGCGTAGTCAGCACTATGCCCAGCCACCTTTACTTTCCCTAAAGGGAGTCAGGTAATCATCAGAGCTGGGTGGACTCAGGGACATGCTATAATCATGTGTACGGGCAGAGATCCATTCTTAATTACTTCAGTCTTGCAGTCGAGCACTCAGTGATGCAGTCCCATTGGACTGCATGCTGTTAACTGGAAAGTTATGTTTTCGGAACTTAGGTTGGAGACTGAACTGCCCTCATCTTAGTGTTCTATGTCCAACTGTCTTAACTTCCCCAAGTCTATGTCTGGTACCCATCGGAGCTGGGTGGACATCCTACAGCCTCAAGCCTGAGATCTGAACTCGACACTTTTCAGAAGGCAATTGATTGCTCCAACACCCAACCTCACTATCCCATAGTAAAGTAAGTAAAGATCCCTTTTCAAAAACAGTCCTCAGTGCAAGAGAAGTAGAATTTCTTTGACCTCGGCATATGAAAAGATAGTGTGTTCAGCACTATGTCCAGCAGCCTTTACTTTCCCTAATGTGAGTTATCTACCCATCAGCGCTGGATGTACTCAGGGACACCATCCCACACATTTATTAAACAAGTTTAAAAGACTGTTGAAAGATTGCTATAAACAGATTGTATGTCTTTATGTTTTAAAACAGATGCACCTGACACACTTTAATAACTTCACTGCAGGCCTTAGTCCAAGCCAAGCTTGTGAGTGCTGCTGATTACCTAAGAAAGCTTGTCACAGCAGGCCATGGTCAGATGTCCAGTAGTGTAACACCATCCCCTAGTGAACGAACCCGTTCCCTCCCTAGCTTGCCGTCCAGCAATGCGTCAAACTACAATGAGCAAGTGACAGGTGTTTGTCGTCCAGTTCCTAACAGTAACGGCCAGTCACAGGGCGTACCTGAGATACCTGACAACTACAATGATCCTGTTGGGCAGACAATTACTACAATATCTGTTAAAAGGTAGGCCCTATGGATGTGTAGAGTTGATAGTTTAAGATGGGCAATGTTTCCAACATTCCTGAAAAATTGGGTTACATGATGGGTGGGTGGGGGGTGGCTAATCGCAAGAACGATATCTATAGAATAATACAGGTGTGTGGAACATTTACTTAACATAGCTATACTTAACATAGCTATGTTTAGTAAGCTGTAATCAATATCTTTTATGTGAAAGTACATTGAAATGGAGTATGATTGTGTAACCGTAAAAAAATAGACATTTATTTAAGCAATGTAAATAGTGCATGCTATTGATAAAGAATAACAAAATCAATTTTATTGATTAGTCAGACTGAGTTGCCTGTATCAGTATGATCCCTAAACAAAATCTCATGTTTCATCTGCAAATATAGTCCCAACTTGAATTCCAGATATCATTTTTTGCAGAATCATGAATAAACCTTTTATTTTTGTGTATGGTTAATTATAAGACGTTAAACCTAACCCTAACCACAGATAATACTGTTAAATAACTATTTACATATTTTTTAATTGTTTTATATATACAAATACTTAAAAAACAAGTAATTAAAAAAAGTCTATTGACAATTTTAGTGCAATTTCCTTATGTTATCTAAAAATAGCTCTGTCGTAGCGTAAATCAAGAGCAGGGTTAGTAAAACCATTGGTTAGTTATTAAAACGTTTTTTATTAAAAAAAATTTCAGTATTTTAAATGTTTTATTTACAATAGAGTAACATGACTAAAAACCATTGCGCGCCTAGCTACCGAACGTGATGTCGCAGCCATTGAGCGTGATGGCGCAGCTATTGAACGTGATGACGCGTGTGGTGTGGTTGCATAAAATGCCTACTAATTCGGTCCAAATTTTAATAAATTCAAAAAAATTTTTGTGACCGAACGAAAGGATATTTTTGAAAACTTTCTTTTGCAATATTGTTCTAAATTAAGGCAGGAATCGATTGGTACATGTTTCAAGTCGCTAAGTGGTCTGGTTGCCGAGATATGGGCCAAAAACTGCTTCTTTTCGAGGTTTTTTGACTTTTCCGGGAAATCCATGAAAGAAACCCGGAATTTTTATGGCCTATGTTCATCCTCGTAACTTGCTTAATATAATTGCTTTTGGAACTAGTCATCGATATTGCTTCGTTGAGGAGGAGATACGGCTTAAAGCTGCGGACACACATTCATCCATTCATCCATCCATCCAGAAATGACGGGTTAATAAACGCAATTCTCCAGAATGGAAATTGCGCTAAAAACGTTACATTTCATTAAATACCTAAATGCTACATATTTAAAATTTATTTTCAAATTAATAGTTTAAAATTTCTTGAGGAATGTTTTAATCCTTTTGTTCATATCTCATGCCTGTAACTTAACTTAGTGAAGGTGATATGAAAGGAGAAGGCAGTGCCCCAATGGAGTCACCTACAGTACCTGACTACACTGATATAGATTTGAAAGAAATTAGATATGATATTCTTCGCCAAATTACAAGTATGTCTTTTTTTGTCAGTTTTTCTGTCCGTTTAGAATTTGTTTTTATTATAAATTTTATTTTTTAGTGTAACTTTAAATTTAAAGTAGCGTCAGTAAATAAAGAATAAAATAGAATCTTACAGCTTGTTGATTAAAACAGGTAAGTTATTAAGTGTCCTTTTTTTACTTAAACACCCTATCTATAATAGACACATAATCTGAGCTTGAAAGTGTTATAACTTTTATCGATTCACCACATTCAATTTATGATTACCTGGAAAAGAAAGAAAAAGTAGTCACACTTCTGAACGCGGCAATCTATGCGACAGATAAAGTAGAGTTCACCTGTTTCTGTGACCTCGACATGAGGTCTTTACTTTATTTAACAAAAGTGACATGCTTATCAGGGCTGGGTGGACTTGGGGACGTTCTTTGGACTTTATCTAGGGTTAGCAGTCGTAGCCACATGTTCCAATATTTCACCTAGAAATTTTGGATATTTATAGTGTCTATCATTGTACAATGTCCTTTCTTACAACTGTAATTGAAGTCTTTGTAGTATTTTGAAAACATGTAATAATTAAAAATAGAAAAAGTTTTTATTATAGTATAGTATAATTAAGATTCTCTTTGTTAATTAAGAAATGTAATAATTAGTTATGGATATTAAACCTGTGTTTGCTTGATGTTTTACAGATAACTTTGACACAAGGAACTTGAAAAATGGGGGTAACCTCATCGGAGAGGGAGGCTTTGGGACAGTTTTTCTTGGCATGTTCAACACTGGGTTTAAGATTGCTGTTAAATGTTTGAAAGATGACTCTGATGATTGTTCTGGCCAGTTTAAAACAGAAGTGGAGGTAAAGTTAAGCTGGTCAGTCTTACCTACACCATAAACATAAGAGCTAACATAATACATTTTTCCTTTACACTAAACCTCACAACATATTCTGAACTGCTGTTAAATTATTTCTTACTTTATACCAAACATCAAGCCATTTATTGACCCTCACCTAACATATCGAGGACCCTAATTTTTGCGGAATGTCATGGATGCAACTTGGTGCAATCACCCATAACCGACTACATTAGAGAGGTGTGGTTACACCTGTATGCTCCACAAGGGGTCGACAGAAATGATGATGATAATTATTTACACCAACCTACTAGATATTCTACACTGTTATAAATTTATTTCGTTAATTTAAACAAACCTCACACAGTTTACTCTAAATTTCTGTATATTTTGTGTCCTTCCCTTCCAATGATGCTCTTACTTACTTACTTACTTAGTCCTCCACCATTTCCTTCCATTTCTTCCTATCCTCGGCTATTAATTTTGACATCTCCCAAGAAGACTCCGCCTCCAGGTCTGTCTTGGGCACCCTCTCTTCCGCTTTCCCTGGGGGTTCCACTCAAGCGCTTGGCGTGTAACATTTGTGTGAGCCTTTCGCAGTGTGTGACCCACCCAGCGCCACTTCCTCCTTCTTATTTGCACACCTATAGGCTCCTGCCTAGCTTTCCTCCATAGTTCCAAGTTCGGCACTTTGTCCTGCCATCTCAGTTTCAGTATCTGTCTAAGGCATCTATTCATGAAGGTCTGTATCTTTGCTGTGCTTGCCTTGGAGACTCTCCATGTCTCTGCTCCATACAGCAGAACTGCCTTGACATTAGAGTTAAATATCCAATGATGCTCACACTGTTGTAAATGTCCCTACCAGACCCTGTGCAAGTTCAAACATGAGAACCTAGTCTACCTGCTGGGGTACAGCTTAGATGGGGACACCAAGTGCCTGATATATCAGTACATGTCTAATGGGTCTCTAGAGGACAGGCTGGCATGTTTGTTTGATTCTCCCCCTTTGTCAAATAACATGAGGCTACACATTCTCACAGGTTAGTTCCCTTTATGCTGGTTTTTTTTTACATTCTCGTTTTCTTGGTTATTTTTATTATTTAGTTCAGGGGTCCCCAAACTTTTCAGTCCGAGGGCCACATTGACTATCAAATTTCAGGTGCCAGTTTATTCCTGACATGACTTTGATTTTTCTGGGTGAAGTTCCTCAGCCATCACCAACAAATGTTTTTTTCCATTGACAAAATGATCTCTGCTGGCCGGATGAGAGGACCTCGCAGGCCCATCCGGCCCGCTGGCCGTAGTGTGGGCACCCCTGATTTAGTTTATCATTTGCTCACTATCTGTTTTTGCTAAAAATTATTTTGGTTTAAAAAAAAAATAAACCATGCAATTAAAGCTGACATTTTTAGTAATCGCTTATGTTAATGTAGGCCTATGTAGTATGATGGATGATTAGCAAACTCAAAGCACTGTAGCCTTGACCTTATAAGAACAGGAGAATCTATTATCCAGATTTGAAAGTAAATAGTTGTCAGGCTTTGAGCTGGGTAATCAATTCTCAAAAATTGTATTTGACGTAGAAAAGGATTTACAGCAATTTGTGTGTATTAGGATGTTTGTCTCAACAACATTAAATACACAAATAATTTTAGCAAAGATTCTATTATCAAAAATAAAAGACACTTGCAGTGGTAAAGATATCTTGCTGCCATATCTTTTTTTTCTGACTTTGTAACATAGGACTTTGAAAATACACACAAGTTTTTTACTAAAAAACATTTTTTAAATTTGTTTGTTTTCCAAGATTAAATTTTAAAATTTATTACTTAAAAAGTTATTTTTTTCCCCCCAGGCACAGCTAGAGGGATAGACTTTCTACACAAGGGGGGTCTTATTCACAGGGATATCAAAAGTGCCAACATTCTACTTGATGCAGAGTTTAACCCTAGGGTGAGATGAATTACACTAGACACTCGCACTGATTATAGTTCTTTATCACACTTGTAAAAATGTTTTATTCATAAAGATATTGTGTGGTAGTTTATGAAATTTTTTCATCTTTTTGTGGATTAGAGTTGCACAGTGACATTTTATATGTAGGATTGTGAGGCAAAGTGGCATTTTATTTGTGGGACAAAGTGGCATTTTATTTGTGGTATTGTGGGACAAAGTGGCATTTTATTTGTGGTATTGTGGGACAAAGTGGCATTTTATTTGTGGTATTGTGGGTCAAAGTGGCATTTTATTAGTGGGATTGTGGGGCAAAGTGGCATTTTATTTGTGGTATTGTGGGACAAAGTGGCATTTTATTTGTGGTATTGTGGGACAAAGTGGCATTTTATTAGTGGGATTGTGGGGCAAAGTGGCATTTTATTTGTGTGATTGTGAGGCAAAGTGGCATAATTGAGAATGAGTTGCAAAGTGGTAAAATGCACCAGTGCTCAACTAACTCAAAAGTTTTAAGTTCCAGTGCTTAAGTCCTTGACTTTACCCATACTACATTACATATTGTAAGTTATTTTACATCGAAGAAATTAAAGTTTTCAAGTTTTATTGTTGACCACTCAGTCTGTTCAAACGCTAAAACCGCTAAAACAGAAAACTCTAAGGGACGGTGTGGTCAAGCAGGAGAGCGAATTACTTGACACCAAAAGTTCCGAGTTGGACTCCTGGACAGATCAGGATCATTAGCTAGGGACAGCAACCCTTTCAAGGAGAGAAAACTCCAAAATGAAAAAAACACACAGCTCAGATTGTTCTAGGCTGGAAATAAAATACAGCAGGCTGAAATCGGACTTACATAATAATTAATTGCGACAGAGGAAATCTCCTTCAATATATTACAATTAAGAACATGGAAGAAAGATAAACTCTACTCTTTTTATTTTGATAAGACTTCAAGCCAGAGATTTTTTTTACCTGTTCAACTACCTTGATCATATTTCACATTGCTTGTGGTTTTACCTTACTTGTCCTTCCTTGTGATACATAATTTTTGTTTAAATTTTACCTAATATATATAATTTTTGTTTAAATTTTACCTAATATATATAATTTTTGTTTAAATTTTGCCTAAAGGTTACCTAAATCTTACCTAACATATACCTGACCCTGTGTCTCCATTCAGGTAGGAGACTTTGCTACAGCTAAACTCACCCCCTCAGGCATGACAACAAAGGTGATGAAGGCCACCACAGTTATAGGCACGGCCCCGTACCTGGCCCCAGAGGCGTTCAACTTTACCCTTCACAACGGGCTGGATTGCTTTAGCTTTGGTGTAGTTATACTGGAGGTCTTAACAGGTGAGCTGGGGGTCATACTGGAGGTCTTAACAGGTGAGCTGGGGGTCATACTGGGGGTCTTAATAGGTGAGCTGGGGGTCATACTGGAGGTCTTAACAGGTGAGCTGGGGGTCATACCGGGGGTCTTAATAGGTGAGCTGGGGGTCATACTGGAGGTCTTAACAGGTGAGCTGGGGGTCATACTGGAGGTCTTAATAGGTGAGCTGGGGGTCATACTGGGGGTCTTAACAGGTGAGCTGGGGTTAGATATCAAATTTATATAGTGAACTGAAGTGAATTAGAATTTTCTCTTTGGAAGTGTTTTAGATAAATTTTAGTGTTTGATTCTAATTAGTGCTGAACCAGTGGCGTAGCGAGGTCGGGTGTCACCCGGTGCGGCACTTGATGGTGTCACCATCCCAGAGGCATAGCGACCCTTCCCGGCGCCCGGGAACAAACTTTCAATTTGGCGGGCTCTCTGGATCAACCCCCTTAAACTTTCCATTTGCACCCCCCCCTCCCGCTTCCAACCTTGTCAGGATTTGTCAGATTTTCAAATTTGCTCTTAAAAGACTATTTAACACTCGATTTAATCACTTAATTAAGTGGAATTATCATTTTTCTCTATATATTTTGCTATTTTTTTTTTTTGCCTTGGTGTCACCCCTCTAAATGGTGTCACCCGGTGCAGTCCGCACTCCCCGCCCTCCCCCTCGCTACGCCACTGTGCTGAACCCACAAGATAGTGTATGTAAATGTTTTCATTGAAAATGTAGTATAAAAAGAGGGTATGAATAATATTCTTGTCTCCCCTTCTTGACAGTATGATATAAAATAAGCGATGGTAGTGTTTGTTGATTTGTATTGAGTAAACATAGCTAGCGTGTATAATGCTGTCATACATACAAGCTTTTGTATTTCTTGAAGCTGTAATGACGAAGATTTTAAATTAAAACTGTCATGGCTAAAAAAAAATGTATTAATCTTGGTTAAAATCTGGATTGCAAAGCTCTGACACCGTAGTTGATAGAAGCAACTATGTTTAGGGGAAAATAAACAATTTCATTAATACTTTGTCAAATATTTAGAAAGCCAAGCTACAAATTATTTCTCAAAGTTTCTTTTCATTGTAAAAAGCTTGTTATGTACATATACATATATTCCCTATTTATTCAAACCCTATCTGAAGAATTTAGTCCACTGCTTAAAATTATTGACTCTCTGTGAATTTTCACTTCATCATCACCTTTTTCTGTTCATATCCAAGACACATGGGGGTAGATTAAGTAGAGTTAATCTACTTCAATGACCTTGGCGAATTTTCTCTTCCTTGATCGTAATGAAATTTAGTTAATGCAAAGTTGCTTGTCAAACTTATGGGCCCCCTTGCTTACTTTCTCTCTCTATTTTATATGGGCTTTTCACACACCCATATTGTGGGCAGCTAGACACTGCAGAGCTTTAATTTCCTTCTCCAGTTCATCACAGCACTTGGTTTGTATATGAAGGACTGTTTGTTTAGGGGACCTAATACAGTCTCTAGCCTGGGTTTCGAACTCACAACTGTCAGCCTAGTAATGGAGAAATTTACAGCTAGACCACGCCATCCCCAAGATAATTTTAACATTTTTTTTTTGCCTTTTTGTTGTTTAGGTCTCCCAGTGTGTGACCCTGGTAGAGAAACAGCAGATCTGAAATTGTACGTGCAGGAGTTCTGCTGTTGTGGGGAGGATGAGGAGGAGTGTGGCACGATACACGACCTGTTAGATAAACGCGGGGGTGAGTGGGATGCCGACGTTGTGGAGAAATTGTACGCCTTGTCTTGTCGCTGTCTGGAATGTAACCGCAAGCTACGGCCGAAAATGTCGGTTATTTTAACAGAGTTGGAGAGTTTAGGCGCGACAGGAGAGGCAGCAGCTAACAGTGATAATAGTTAAATTATTTGTAAAAAACTATTTGTAATTTTAACTTACAAATTAAAAGATAGGCCTACTTGTTACAATTTTTGTAAAAAAAACAAAAAAAAACCAGTGTATTATTAATTTTCAAATAAAAAAATGCTGGTTACAGTTTTTGTAATAAAAAAAAAAACAATACATTATTAATTTTCAAATTAAAAGATGCTGGTTATAGTTTTTGTAAAAAAAAAGTGTATTATTAATTTTCAAATTAAAAATTCTGGTTACAGTTTTTGTAAAACAAAAAAGTATAATATTAATTTTCAAATTAGAAGATAAAGTTTTTGTTAAAACTTATTGTTTCTTGGATTTAAAAAATGTCTACTCGATGTTACTGAGCACCAAAGTCATACTGTTATTGATGATAAATTTTTGAATGCATTGCATGTTTACTTTAATTAAATATAAAAAATTCATGCCGAAAGTGTTCTTTAAGATGTTTAAAATTTTAATGGAGTTTAAGGCTCATTAAGGAAAAATGGTGTCTTCATTGGACAATTTTAATTTTTTTAAATATATTTTTTGTTTTTTTTTTAGCCTGAAATTTTGTGATTATAAACAGTAATAATTAACTAAACTTTGAATTCATGAAAAGTATTTCATCACAGTGATTAGGATTTTATTGTAATACACAACTACTGGCAAGATATAAACATCTGATGTGTCATGGCTGACAAAAAGCTCTTGTGGATCAAGAAACAACTTATGTTATAACTTTAAAAGTTGTTCAATTATCAAAGTTGTCAAAGCGCATAAACTTTATTTATTTACACATGTTGATGTATGTACATAGAAAATGAATAAAAAAATTGTGCTCATAATAAAGTTGTGCATGTTTTTTATTAACTTTTGGGTGTTAAGATTAAGTAAGTCACATTGTTAGGTCTGTTCATGTAGGTTCAGTGAGGTTAACTATGTTTAGTGAGGTCAACTAGGTTCAGTGAGGTTAACTTGGTTTAGTGAGGTTAACTAGGTTCAGTGATGTCAAATAGGTTCAGTGAGATTAACTAGGTTCAGTGAGGTTAACTTGGTTTAGTGTTGTTCACTAGGTTCAGTGAGGTTAACTAGGTTCAGTTAGATTAACTAGGTTCAGTGAGATTAACTAGGTTCAGTGAGGTTAACTAGGTTCAGTGAGGTTAACTAGGTTCAGTGAGGTCGACAAGGTATTGTGAGGTTAACAAGGTTTAGTGAAGTTAAGTAGGTTCTTTGAGGTCAACTAGGTTCAGTGAAGCCGACTAGGTTCAGTGAGGTTAACTTGGTTTAGTGTTGTTCACTAGGTTCAGTGAGGTCAACTAGGTTCTTTGAGGTCAACTAGGTTCAGTGAGGTTAAGTAGGTTCTTTGAGGTCAGCTAGGTTCAGTGAGGTTAAGTAGGTTTAGAGAGGTTAACTTGGTTCAATGGGATCAATAATGACCATTGATGTTAACTAGGTTCAGGGTGATCATCAGAGTTTCTTCCAGGCATCTCTTCGGGGGGGGGGGGGGGCAAAAAAAAAAAATTCTACCCCCCCCCCCCCCCCCCCCGAACGAAATGAAATTTATATACAGAATATATACTTTTAACAGTGTCCGCCCCCGAAGAAAGTCTACCGCCCCCCCCCCCCCCCGAAAATTTCAAAAGCCCCCCCCCCCCCCCCACCCGGAGAAAAAAGTCTGGAAGAAACACTGGTGATCATTAGATTAATGTAATGTAAGATACATAAGATACATTTAATTTTTAACCTTGTCTACTATCAGTTAGGCTACCCTTATTTATCAGTACCAAATAGCATTCAAACAAACATTTCAATTATAATTAAAAACCTATTTCTAATTTATATCTTGAAAACATGGAAAGAATAGAAAATGGTCCAATCTTGAATTCTTTGAGGCAAGCGCTTACCCCCCCCCCCCCCCCCCCATACTCTCCCCCTTCTTTCCCTCCACTTTTTTCTCTCTCCTTCTTTCCTTATCCTCTTCTTTCCCTCTCCCTTTGCCCCGCGCTTAACAAAAAAAAATTACATATTTAAGTTGGTCTCTTTTATCTCTGTTCATTCCCGCAGATGAATTACACATTATATTGTTTCGAAAATTAAAAAATATTTTCTATCTACTGTTACGTAAAATATTTTCCAAGTGAGATTTGAACTCTAGACGTTTGGGTTAACCATTAGCTCTCTAGTCGTTGAACTTAATCAGAGTTTCTGCCAGGCATCTCTTCGAAGGGGGTAGAACATCTACCGCCCCCCCCCCCCCCGAACGGAATGGAATTTATATAGAAATAGAGTGGGGGGGGGGGGGCGGTCACTGTTTAAAGTATATATATACTTTTAGTCTGCCCCCCCCTTCCCCCCCCCCCCCCGAAAATTTCAAGTGCCCCCCGCTGCCGCTGAGAAAAAAAATCTGGAAGAAACACTGAACTTAATCCCATTATAGTATTTTAAACATTTTCAGTCTAGTAACTTAACTGGATAAGTTTAACTTTACCTATGATTATAATAAAGTTAATTTTGGAGAGCGGTGAGTAGTTTGTGTAGTTGACGAAATACAACCCGTTTATAAAAATATCAAACGCTGCGGTTTTCACCAAGATATGGATGTCGAACTCCTGATCCAAGTTGAAAGGAAATTCTGAGATTCGCAGGCTTTGGTTAGTGAACCAGGTCATTGCTCTTCTGTTGGTGACGATGACCTCTGGGACCTTGGTGTTGAAGTCTTCCCTAGGTCTGACCTGCAGGATAACGTCCGATCTGTTGGCGGTGTTTGTCAGGTCAAGGCTGAACCCGGTGTAGTTGACGAATACGCCAGTTAGGCGAACCTGAGAAAAGAAAATAATGTTCTGTTGTTTAGGCCGTTTTCTTTTACTTACATTATTCATCAGTAATTAATAGTCCTGATATGAAGTGTTTTTTTTAATATTATTTTACAAAGGGGTCTTCCAGTCTACCTCTGGATAGGAATAAAAACCTCACTAAAATGAGTAGAATAATTATCTATATATATAATTCTCTTCTGTGAGAAGTTAGAAAACAAGCGACAAGCGCGCCTTGCAGTCCCCTCTCTTCCTCTCTATCACTATTACTACCACCCCCACATGGTCTGGTGAGCTGTGGTTCACGCAAAATGTTTACCAATCGTAGAGCCGGGTTTAGTGACGGCTATTAGGGGCAGATAATCTAGTTTGAAACGATTTTAAACTAACAGGAGGTAACTAAGAGGGGGGGTGTATGGTAGGGGAAGGGGGGCGGGTAGTGTTTTAAAGCAAATGTTTTCAGTGGCAGCATTGGTAATGGTACTGTCGAATTCACAAATTATGAATTACTGAAAAGTAGAAAATAAAACAACTAAATAGCGGCGTATGTTATGCCGCGGGCCGGCTCGTATATATAATTCTCTTCTGGGATCAGTTAGGAAACAAGCTGCAAGCGCGCCTTTGCAGTCCCCTCTCTTCCTCTCTATCACTATCACTACCACCCCCACATGGTCTGGTGAGCTGTGGTTCACGCAAAATGTTTACAAATCGTAGAGCCGGGTTT